GGACTTTGGAGAATATAGCAATCAAAATACGTGTTCAGTGTGTATGAAGGAGGATCATAAAATTGTTCATGCTGTTGATTAAGTAAAATGTATTCTAATTAGAACTGAAAAATGGAAATTGCTTCTTTAATGAAGAAGTAAGAAGTAAGTGTAGAAGAAGAATTTCAGCAGCTGTTTCTGGCCAAACAGGTAAAAAGCAACAGGTATTGAAATTCCCTCTTTGCCATAGCTATTAAAAGTATTGGAGCCACCTCTAGCTTTGAATATGACAGCCCTGTGGCATGTGTTTGAATATATGTATTTGCACTCACTGTAGAAATAATGCAGTTTGACAACACTTTAACTGCCATGGCTCAATGCAATGGATTCATCGGAGTTGCAGTTTGGTGAAGACCCAGAACTCTTTGGCAGAGAAGGCTAAAGACCTTATAAAACTACATCTTCCAGGATTTTACAATATTTAGTCATAGAAGTCAAAGTGGTGTCAAAATGCATTAATTCCATAATGTAATGCACCTGAACCATGTGTAAGACAGATCTGACTCTTTGTATGGAGTCCTCCTTTTAAAAAAAATTCACAAATTGAAGAATTGAAACAGGACTATCATGTTTAAATGGTTTCTTGGGCATTTCAGTGGAGCAGTGCAAAGATAGCATGAGTTGGTTTGAAATGTATTGATCATGACCTTTCTGCTCACAACACCAAAAGTACAGATGGTAGAGATTTGGGAAGCTGCTGCAATAAAAAAGACTTCATTTAATAGATATATACAGAAGACTGAAAAACCCAGTACTGTAGCCATTTATTAATTTTATGAATTTGAGAATCATCTTCTATATTTATTAGTATCTCACTCTCTCTGTCTCATTAATGTATGATCATACCTTTTTCCCCATAGAGCAGTGGTTCTTAACCTGTGGGCTGTGGACCACCAGTGGGCCGCGAGGATGAAAATCTGGTCCGTGAGCCTCCTTCCTCTTTAAGTATTTTATTTTTTATTTCTGCTCCTTTCATGCCGCTTCCCACTCCTTCCCTGTTGCTGATCAGCTCTACATTATTAAATGTGGTTTTCTGTGGACAAGGAGATGGCAACTACTGGATGGCATATGTTCTGTTTCAGAAACTAGAGCTGATGTGGTCTGTCCAATGCAATTTTCTGAATCAGCATCCCAAATAACCAAACGGAATCTAAAGTTGACAAAAAAACTGATTCATAACCTCTTTGGTACTAATGCTGAAGAATCGTCCGTAATCAAAGTGTCCCTGGTCAAGTGATCCCTGGTCAAAGTGGTCCCTGGCCAAAAGAAGATGATGCAAGGTGTCTGCAATAGATGATGTGTCTTAGAAGGTGTTCTCCTGGGCACACAGAAGACTGGGTGACTTGCAAGGTGCTGAACAGACTGTGTTCTGGCACCATGAGATGCAGAGCCAATCTTAAGAAATGCGGCTACAAAGTGGTGCCCACAACATGAAAGTGTGGAGAAAAGCAAACCACAGAACACCTACTACAATGAGCCCTGAGCCCTGCCACATGCACAATGGAGGACCTTCTCACAGCGACACCAGAGGCACTCCAAGTGGCCAGCTACTGGTCAAAGGACATTTAGCACAATGCCAAATTTTTAACTTTGTTTGTTGTTATACCTTATAACTGTATTCTCAATTCACTTCTGACATGATTATATATATATGAAGATGAGTTTAAAATAAATTAACAAGAACAATATATATTGCAAAAGTTTTAAAAAGCATTAACAACCCATCCGATTAAAAAAAATTAAAAGCACGTTCAACACAGTGGTGGCTTGCCCAGGGCATTAGTTTGTCCAATGGCAAGTTGGCCTCTTAAACATTGGACAGTATATTAAAATGTTAATGACATTACTAGTGTATACGACTAAAATGTATGTTGTATTATTATTTCAATAAAAAATTAATAAAATCATTATAGTGGGCCCATTTGTTTCCTGGCAACCAATATTTTTGGACTGAGTCTGCCATTGATTCAATGTACGCCATAGATTAAAAAATAGCACATTCATATCAAGTTTTCTTCTTTCTATTTTTGTTGTTGTTGAAGTTTTCTACTTTAGAGACACAGTTCGGTATAGGTTGCAATGTTATATAGAAAAGCCTTCAAACCAGACAACTGTGCTTATTTAGAGTCGAATTTATTTTTGGAATAAATTAAGAAATGGATACTCCACTTGTATATAAATTTGAATCTCCACTTGCGCTATTAAATTTTCATTGGTACAAGGCTGGTTTTTCCCTTTGCTACTTCTTCTGCTTCACTGAAGGAGCTTGATCTGTCTGAAGCAGATTTTGAGGATGTAAAGAGCAATGCAGGGGGAGAGCTTTCGTTTTCGCCCATGCATTTGTTTCTGTCTGGAAAAGTGCAGTGTTGGATCTAGGCTGTGGAGTTGTTGCCTTATGGCGGAAAACCTTTATATGTGAAATGCACTGAGAAATTTTGGAAACAACTAGTTAATAAACCTGCCTTTTTCTGACTGTTCCTGTATGTCAGTAGGATCAAGTACAAAAAGACATTGGACACTGCTGGACGATTTCTATTTATTTTTCCCCTTCCTCACTCCTGCTCGGCCTTCTTAACAAGAAATATGCTTTAACCGCAAAGGAAATCTGGTTTTTCTGCCCCTTGGGTGGATCAAAATTACCTTCCTCGTCTGCGGCATAGTCCAGCCTCAGAGAGACTGACCTTAAAGCTTGGATGGTTCTCTAAGCTCATTTAATTGGTGCAAAAACCTATCAAATCAAGCAGATTAAATTGTTATGCAATAAGCCCCATGCTTTGGACATTTAGAGTATGTTATGGAATTGCCTCTTGTACAAGACGATGCTGCCGAACACTCAGCCGAGTACCTTTTAATTAAACAAGACAGAAAGCTCATGGTGGAAAATTTAACTGGCATTTTAATGATTCACTTTATAATACAAGGGTGCGAACCAGCCTATTCCATGGGTCATGGGGATCTTATTTGCATAATATCTCTCTTGTAGAAATTAGAGTATCACACAGCCCTCACACTACAGGAGAACTGGAACTCCATGAGTTGCAGCATTGCTTCGGAAAACCCACAACTATTGAGAGTTGTCTTCAACTCCAAGAGAAACCTGGTGAAATTCATTAGGGACCTTTCACACTACACATTTGTAGTGCTTTGATTCTGCTTTAATTGACATCATTCTATCCTTTGGAATCTTGGGAGTTGTAGTTTAGGAAGAGGTGTTTAGGAAGAATTCTTGAAGAGCTCTAGTATTTTATTTTGAAGAGCTCCAGGATTCCATAGGATGTTGCCATGACAATTAAAAGGGGAATTGTGAAATGCTAGTGTTATGCAAATCAAAACAATTGCAGCAAAAATGAAACGTAAGGGCTGCTTTACAAATTGCATTTTGAAAACATATACCTCAAACATTTAGTATATATCTAAACCAGAGTTTTGAAAAATTACTTTTTAAAGAATATCTAGGGAGCCTCCGATGGCACAGTGGGTTAAACTGCTGAGCTGCTGAACTTGCTGACCAAAAGGTTGGTGGTTTGAATCTGGGGAATTAAGATGAGCTCCCGCTGTTAGCCCCAGCATCTGCCAGCCTAGCAGTTCGAAAACATGGAGATGTGAATAGATCAATAGGTATCGCTTCGGTGAAAAGGTAAGGGTGCTCCACGCAGTCATGCTGACCATGACTTCGGAGGTGTCTATGTCAGCTCTTCGCCTTAGAAATGGAGATGAGCACCACCACCCAGAGTCAGACACAATTAGACTTAATGTCAAGGGGAAACCTTTACCTTTATCTTTAAAGAGTATATCTCCCAGAATGCATGGCGGAATCTAGAAGTCGGGATCAAGAGAATGAATTTTACTAAGCTCAGAAATAAACACATAATGCAGGGAAGTGGATATCAGCTGATTGTCTGGATGTTGTTAGATTATAGCTTCCTTAAAGCCAGTACAAATTGGGTATCCCTTTCTCGAAATGCTTGGGACAAGAAGTGTTTTGGAATTTGGATGTTTTTGGATTTTGGAATACTTGTGTTTGCATAAACATGCCCAAAAGAATATATTTTGTATACCCATTATCTGAAGGTGTGTTGATACAATAAAATGTTTGTCCATGAAACACAGTTTATGTACACTGAACCATCAGAAAGCAAAAACACTACTATTATAGCATTGGACTGTGGCAGTTAAAGTAGTATCAAACTGCATTAATTTGGCAGTGTCAATGAACTTATTGATCCATGAAACTATTTTAGATCCCATAGCAGAAAAACTGAATGTCTCATGTTCCTAGGCTTACACAATAATGTTGTCTTTCTGTCTTTCATCCATTCCACTCTGTTCCACCAAAGAATAAGTTCAGTTAACTCAGTTCCTTTGATGAAAAAGACTTGTAGACATTTGTTGATAAGTTATATTTATTTTATTTTATTTCATGTTTTCCCTTGATTGTTGTTTGTTAGTTCTTGGCATCAAATGTTTGCCAGTTTTTTTATACTTTGGAAACTGCCCTGAGTCCCTTCGGGGGGGGGGGGGGGGGGGGGGAAGCTTATAATTAAAGTTTTATATTATTATTAGTAGTAGTAGTATTAGTATTATTAGTAGTATTTGCTAATTCACAGCTCTGACAATATTCCTGACAGTTGAAGCAGTTCAGTAGCTGAAATCCACTATGAGGCTACCAAAATCAAAATCCCAGTTTGTCAGTTTCTCCATGTGTAAGAATACAGCAGCAGTAGCTTTCCACAAAATATTATTCTGCTATCACAATGCAAAATGTTGGGAAAAGGAATTATATCCATGACACATCTCACACACCATTCTTGTTGGTATCATCAGCTTTTTTTTTACATGGATGTTGTTTTTCACACAGTAACATACACACTGTAAGTCTGAATACCCTAACATTTACAGCTACTAGGTCTACACTTCATTACACTGAATTTATACTTTAGATAGAAACACATGCCACTTACCTTAAAGAAAAATGCATGGGAAAGGTCAGAGAACAGCAAGTAGGTGGGGATAAAGAACAAACGACAAAAGACGTTAGGTATGTGAAAGCTTATAACAGGTCAAGGTATTGACCCATATCCACAAATACATGGGAGGATCACGTGGACAGGATATTGTCTTGAAGTTCTAAAACAAGAAATAAGCACAGCAAAGCATCCGGACAAATGGAGAGAGAAATGTGTGGGAAGATTAATGCAACAGCTGTCAGTCGAAAGGTTTTAGTATCAATACCCCTTCTCTGAATAAATGCAATATGAAACCCAAAGCCAAGCTTGCAGATGGGAGGTGAGCAGTCGTCTTCCCTATTGGCCATGCTGGGTGGGGGATGATAAGAGTTAGAGTCCAATGACTATTAAGAAGGCTGCATCAACCCTATGTTAAGAAAAGTCAAGGGATTCTTAGATTTTGCCTGAAACTCCAGAGCAACTCTAGTGCAATCCCACAACTTTGACAAAGCATGGAAAGCAGGACTTGCAAGTCCTCTACATCAACCCCTCTCTCCTAGTAGAAAACCAAAGGTTTTAAAATATTTGTTTCCAAACCACTTATCAACTTATGGTAAATTCATACATTTCACAGGGTTGTTTTTGGCAAAGAGCACTCAGAGAAGGTTTGTCATTGCCTACCTTGAAAATATGGCCACAGCCCGGTCCATTTTCCAAAGGACCGGGCTGTGGCGCAGCTAGTTAGTAGCCAGCTGCATTAAATCACTACTGACCGAGAGATCATGAGTTTGAAACCAGACCGCGTCGGAGTCAGCTCCTGACCATTAATAGTCTATCTTGCTGTTGACCTATGCAGCCCAAAAGAGTTAGAGTCAATGACAATTCAGTCAAGTAGGAAATGTAGGTACTGCTTTATGCAGGGAGGCTAATTTAACTAATTTACAACATCATAAAACCTTTCAGCAGCATGCGTAAGAATGAGGAAGTACTCCATCAAGTACTCGGTGTCACAAGTGGATGGTGAAGCAGCAGTTCCCCCTGTGGCTGGAACTAAGCATACCCTCACGAAGCCAGAAAAGCTGGAATGCTAAATTGCCTCTGTGACTGTCTATATCTGTTGTATGTCAATGGCATTGAATGTTTGCCATGTATATACGCATTGTAATCCACCCCCAGTCCCCTGCAGGGTGAGAAGGAAGGAATATAAATACTGTAAATAAATAAAATAAATAAATATTAACCAATCGTAATTCAGATTAGCTTGATGTTGGTGTTATCAGAAACCCAGACACCCCTCCCCCCAAATCAGAGCCTGAAAACGGGGCTGAGATGAATGACCTCCTTGTGCCCTGCTCAACTTCTGTCTCATCACCTAACGACCATTCCACTCTGATAGCAATCACTGCCACAATTGTCGCCAAATAATACCCATTTCCCCACCCAAAGTATGAATGAATGAATGAATTGTTTATTGTACTGGCCATGACATGACATAATATACAAGCTTTAAAAGTACAATAAGCACTTACCAATATAAATATTAAAACTTATTCCATATACTGGCTCTTTAAAATTATAGTAACAGTGACATAACAAACACAATTGTCTTATTTGTATCATCCCAAACCATGACAACAATTAGTGTACACCAAATAAATGAGACCACAGATTGTAATTTGCACCAAACAGAAAAATGTATATTATTTGAATGTCTATAAAATGCTGTTGCCTGTCAGATCTGGGATTCTCCCCGGCATCCTTCTTTCATTAACAAAGTCATAAACCTCCAATTCTGCCTCCATCTCTGTGTGTCCTGATTGGAAACCATTGGAGCTGGAACAAATCCAGGATTCCGGGCAGCATTGGCATTGCATACCAACATAGCAGATGCAGCACAAAGAACAATATAGCAGCAGGACCCTATATTTAAGAAAAAAAACATTTGTTATGTGTCTTTGACAGTTTAAGAACTGTTTTTACTACTCAGGGATGTTGAACAATGCTAAATCTGCAGTTTCTTCTTGTATCCCAGACTTGAAGGAAAGTCACCAGTGCTGGTGGAACAGCTTGCATGGTTGGATTGCAATTTCCTAGCAGGGAAAGAAGCAGCTTCACTATAATCTGGAAACTATTTTCCTCTAGTGGTGTTGCAGCAATAATCATTTTATGCCTGAATTCCTTTCCTTGAGGGTGCTGTGTACTTTCCCAAAGAATGTGCCTTTAAAGCATGTTTTTAATTGTTTTAAACTAGGCTTTTAATTTAGTTCTGTTTTGAGCACTGATTAAGTTGAACTCATTTTTATTGTATTCTTCTATTTAATGTTACTGTGAGCTGCCTTGAATCTTAATTTAGGGAGAAAGGTGAGATATAAATGGAATACATCATATATAATGCCAACCAACCAACCATGGTTTGAAAATATTTGAGGGGTGGGGACAGGAATCCCAAAAGGAAACCTTGAAACCCAGAAAACAAACCCCAGTGGATAATGAAGGCTCACTGTAATGGGAAAGATTCTGTATCACTTACTTAGATGATCCCTCGTAGCCCGAGGATTATGGTCCTCCAAGTGTAGTGTCTTGGCTGTGAGTCTATAGGTGGCTGTGGAGCCCTATTTTTGATTCACATGTTCTCCTGCAGTGAGGACATTGGTTTTCAGGTGGAAGGCGATCCCGATCAGGGTTGGTTTGACTCACCTTCCTCTTCGCGAATTTCACCCTTTCGTCCTTCGTCTGTGCCTCTTCGAATTCCACAGCACTGCTAGTCACAGCTGATCTCCAGTTAGAGCACGCAAGGGCCAGGACTTCCCAGTTCCCAGTGTCTATGTTGCAATTTTTAAGTTGGCTTTAAGCCCGTCTTTAAATCTCTTTTCCTGTCCAACAACATTGAATTTCCCACTCATGAGCTGGGAGTGTAGTAACTGCTTTGGGAAACGGTGATTGGTCATTCGGACAACGTGGCCAGTCCAGTGGAGTTGATGATGGAGGAACATTGCTTCAGTGCTGGTGGTCTTTGCTTCCTCCAGCACACTGACATTTGTCTGCCTGTCTTCCCAAGAGATTCACAGGATTTTTTGGAGGTAGCTCTGATGGAATTGTTCCAGGAGTGAAAGTGCGACGTCTGTAGACAGTCCTTGTTACGCAGGCGTATAGCAGGGTTGGGAGGACAATAGCTTTATAAACAAGCACCTTGGTCTCCCTACGGATGTCCTGGTCTTCAAACACTCTCTGCTTCATTCTGTATCACAATAACCTTATGAATCTATAACTATGTTGCAGAAATAGTAACATTCTGTTAGTGCTTTGCAAAGATGAACATTGGAGCATTGGTAAGAGTGCTCCAATGTGCAGCAGGCAATTCTGATGTACATCAGAGACTCCTGTTGTGTCTTGGCACTTCCTAGCTAGTCTCCAAGTGTACATCGATGCTCATTGTGCACCTTGCCATGGTACACCAGTCACTCTACCGCTGTGCAATGAATGCCTATGGGTTATAAAATCATGGCAGCCCTTTGATGAATATGGATGTTGAAAAACTACTCAGTTTAAATTTGTGCACACGTAAGGCCATTTGCGAAGACACATGTCCCAGGCAGAATGCCTGCCAATAACATCAAACTGTTTTCTTTTCTCAAGTTATATAAGGATGTGCTGTTTTTGCTATGTTGTTGCTGCTCATTCAGTGCTTTTTATAATTGATCATTGTGGATCAAAACATGCTTTGAAGACCTTTGTTGTCGTCAAGTTGACTTCAATTTATGGTAATGTTATGAATGTGAGAACTCCAAGTTATCCTGCCATCAACAGACCTGTTCTGCAATTGTAGACTCGATTGAATCTATCCATCTGGAATGTAGTCTTCCCCTTTTCCTACTGCCTTCTCCCTTACCAAGCATTATCTTTTCTACTGACTTTTTCATGATATGTTCAAAGTACAACAGTCTCAGTGTTGTCGTCTTGACTTCTAAGGAGAATTCACGCTTAATTTGTTCTAGGACCCATTTATTTATCTTTTTAGTAGTCCATAGTATGCATAGAACCCTTTTCCATCATATATTTAAAATGAATTGATTTTTTGCCTATCGGCACCAAATACCAAAAGGCTATAAAGGTTCCCAAATAGCTGACATACCAGACTAGACTGTTTGTTCACCTCTTCCAGTATTGACTATTCCAGTGGCTTCCAAGTAGGGGCCTCAGATGTTGTTTGCTTCAGTTCCCAGAAACCCAAGTCAGTATATCCAGTGGCCTGGACTTAAGAGAGTTGTAGTCAAACAACATGAGGGGGCACATGGTTGGGAACCTCTGGGACAGGGTCTAGCACTGATCATCAGAGTACCAAATTGAAGAACTCTTCCATATCACCTGCTGCCTTTAATTGTGATGTGAAGGCATAAGATCCCATCTGTTCTTGGAAGCTAAGCAGGGTCAGACCTGGTGAGTACTTGGATGAGGGACTGTTAAAAATAAGAGGTGTTGCAAAGGAAGGAAATGGCAAAACCACATCCAAGAACAGCACAACTGTCATACTAGCCGAAGTGATATTTGTGATTTAATTTATTCGTAGTTTCACTTATTCTCTTAGGGCATTCTGTGCAAGTTACATTCCCTTCTCAATAGCCCAGTCATTAATCTCATTGAAAATAATAGGGTTCACTATTATCCATGGTTTTGTATATCCACACGAATTCTGGAGTCATATCCCTCATGGAGGGCCCCCTGATGGTGCAATAGGTTAAATTACTGAGCTGCTGTACTTGCTGACCAAAAGATTGGCAGTTTGAATCCGGGGAGTAGGGTGAGCTCCCGCTGTTAGCCCCAGCTTCTGCCAACCTAGCAGTTTGATAACACACAAATGTGAGTAGATCAATAGGTAAAGTTTCAGCAGGAAAGTAACAGCACTCCATGCAGTTATGCTAGCCACATGACCTTGGAGGCATCTGCGGACAATGCCGGCTCTTTAGCTTAGAAATGTAGATGAGCAACAACCCCCAGAGGCAGATACGACTAGACTTAATGCCAGGGAAAACCTTTACCTTTATCCCACATGGATAATAGGTTTTACTGTACTCCTTCCCTATGAAAACCCTATAAGACTGATAAGGTCACCATAAGTAGACAGGCAACTTGAAAGCAAATGGATCAATCTTGAAAAGTTTTGAATGGAATTCAGTGAAGCCCTTCCATTGACAGA